AGCCACTATATTATCTTTGCCAAGAGATCTCCAAATGGGGTCACAGAGTCAGACAGGACTGAAAACAACTAAACAACAACAACAACAACAACACACACACGCACAGAGAATATCTTTCTCTTCTTCCTTCTTCCTTTTCTCTTTCTTTCTTTCCTTCCTTTTCTTTCTTTCTTTTTCTTTCTTTCTCTTTCTTTCTTCCTTTCTTTCTCTCTTTCTTTCTTTCAAAGATAATCAATAATGTTCCAAGTACTGTGCTTAAACAGTCCCTACCCTCTAGAATCTCACAGTTTGATGAGGGAGGCAACATGCAAACAACAATGTACAAACAAGATGTATACTAGAAAACTTGGAGATAATCTCAGAGGGAAGGCCCTAGCATAAAGGGGGATTAGAAAGGACTTCTTGCAGAAAGTGGGATTTTAGCGGAGATGTGAATGGAGCTAGGGAAGCCAGGAGACATATCATTATGGAAAGACATACCAGGAGCTGTTGAGAGGGACAGTGTTACAGTATGAGAGTTCTGAGACGGGAGGGATCAGGCTGGGCTGAGATAGTTGGAGAAGGCGTCAAAGAGGAGATGAGATAGACAAGAACAATAGTGAGGAGAAAGGAAGGTATTTCAGTTTGGAAAAGGGTATGAGCAGAGATGGGGATTCACAAGGTGGCCAAGTGGGGATCATAGATTTATTGTCGGGAAGGACCCTAGGAGTCATCTAGTCTAATCCTTTCATTTTATGGGTGAGGAAACAGAGATCCAGGGCAGTGAAGTGATTTGTCTAAGGTCACAGAAGCATAATTCAAAACCAGGTCCTCTGACTCCAAATCCAAGACTCCATCATGTCACACTACAGCTAGGTTTAATCCTTTGGTCTTAATTAATTGGGCAGTTAGGTGGCACCATAGTGGATAGAGTGCTAGAACTGGAGCCAGGAAGACTCATCTTCCTGAGTTCAAATCTGACCTCAGACTCTTACTAGCTGTTGGTGACCTTGGACAAGTTGCTTAACCCTGTTTGCCTCAGTTTCCTCATCTGTAAAATGATCTGGAGAAGGAAATGGTGAACCACTCCAGTATCTTTGCCATGAAAACCCAAATGGAGTCATGGAGAGTCAGACATGACTGAAAAATGACCGAACATTAATTCTGAACAGCGAGGAAAGTATTCAGAAGATCTAACATGCCCTAAATACATTAAGATTATAGGATCATAGATTTAGATCTGGGAAGGATCTTTAAGGTTACCTACTTCAACATTTCATTTACATATGAGGAAACCCAAAGAGTTTAAGTGACTTGTTCAAGATCACTTAGGTAGTAAGTGGCAGTGGTAGGACTTGAATCTTGTTCCTTTGATTCCAGATCTAGCACTCTGTCCTCTATCCCATTTTACCTATTCATGGTTCCTTATAATTAATTTAGAATAATTATCTAGGAGCAAAGATTTTCTTTGCTTCGGAGCTAATAATTTCCTGCTGATTTTAAGGGTCTGGACACATGTCTAATTAATCAGTCACCAGGGTCTTTCTTCAGGTAGTGATTACCAAGGGCACCTTCACTAGGGCAAACATTCAATTTGAATGCAAACTGTCCATCCTATATAAATACGATGCTAATAATCCAGCATGCACTTTGAGTTTGGTTTCTAGTAGTGAGCATGGGCAGCCCTGAATCACTGCCACACCTTTATTTCAACTGAAAGAAGGCTTTTATTCAAAGAGGAAAAAATAGAATTCAATGGAGAAACCAAAAAAGAGTTGGGAAAACCTCTAGTGGAGTCTGGGCTAAGAAGAGACCTTGGGGTGAACTTGGGGTCTGAAGCTAATATGTGCTGTGTGGATATGTTTAACTATTCTAATTATATTACTTACATTTTTGGGAAAAAAGACTCTTGTCTTGCTGAATCAATATTTAATATATATTTCCATTTGTTTTCTGAAGGAATATACGTCTTAAACCCTTCATTAGCCCATCAATCTAAGGAATAATGATTAATTCTGGCTGCAGCTTTCCCTCAATTCACAAAGACTCAGCACAGCACTCTCCTATTACTATAATTTTCCGATGTAAGAGAAGAAATTGCAGTAGTAACTGTATTTCTAGTTTTGGGGAGTCTCCTGCTTAGGTAATTGGATTCCATTCTCAATTCTGACTTTATTTTCTGTGCTCTGAATAAGGCTTGGCCTGGGATGTTAGGAGTCGGTTAAACAGAAGCATGGTACAACTTCATCACAGTATTTTAAAGGATACAGCCTTATTATTATTTGTGGAGAACTAATATCAGAACTACAGATTTCCATGTTCCTTGGGGAGGGAGGAGTTGAAAGATAGAAAACTGACATGTTAATGTAAATGTAGGCTTTAAGAGAAAAGTGATGGTGTGGGGAAAGAAGGGTAATAATCACAAGGCCATAGGAAATTTGATGTTTTGGAATAGGAAGCCCTACATTTGACCTGCTTCCAAGGCGGAATGCGCTCCACCAGTTATGGGCAAAGCCCAGAGGCACCTCTCCTTCTTCTACATTCTGTACTCCTGAGGAGGAGGCCTGATGCTGATTTTCTAGCTTAAAGGCTTATCTGGATTTTTGTTGAGAAGATGCTGCAATTTGCTGCTTTTGTTATCCTAATGAGAAAAGCTAGTTAAACATTTGGGAAGACTTTCCATATCGATTGGTTTTAGAAGATGTGGGAAATTAGATTTGTTATGGAAACAACACCCAAAACGCAAGTACTTTTAAACCTCACACTGGCTCTGTTCACATCACCACTTGCTGCCACACACGGCCACACTAGAGTCACTGCTGGTTGCTATATTAACGCAACCAGCCCTGCCACACGACTCCTTAAAGGAGATGGCTATCAGAAAGGATCATTCAGCGTCTCTGCCTGCCTGTGTCTACGTTACCCACCCTTCTTCTGCCTTCTCCTTTCTCCAAAGGAGTGGTAAGAGGAAGGTCCTAGGAAAAATCATGTCACATTTTGTCCTTTTCTGTGCCAGGGTCATGCAATCCTGAAAGACAATCAGTAGAGAATGCAATTCACCTTGTTGAAAATAGTAGTCCCTGGAGACCATTCTATGACAACTACCTCAGGCAGCGAGAAAGTAATGATAAATGTCTGCCGACACCAACCTAAAGACAGTCACCGGTTAACCCCTCCATCAGGCAAAGCAGACCAAGAACAATTTCCTCTGAAAGCAAGTGGATGGCAAGAAGGATCACAGCATTGATACATTTTAATAATATCACCACCCAGCTTCATAAAAGCATTTCCCTTAATCTCTAAAGCGAGTCTTTTGCCGAGTCTCCAGTAAGCTCTGGTTAGGACCTACAATATACCGATTAGTTCTGTTGGGTCGTTTTTTCAGATGTGTCCTACTTTTCATGACCCCATTTGGGGTTCTCTTGGCAAAGATACTGAAAGTGGTTTGCCATTTTCTTTTCCTGCTCATTTTACAGATGAGAAAACTGAAGCAAACAGGGTTAAGTGATTTGCCCAGATTCATACAGCTAGTAAGTATCTGAGGCCAGATTTGCACTCAGGAAGATGAGTCTTCCTAACCACAGGCCTTGTGCTCTGTGCACTATTGCACCACCTAGCTGATGCTGATTATTGGACATCTGAATTTTCTTGGCTTGTCTCTCCCCAAGAAACTCACATAGTCCCTGCCTATTCACTTTAGACAAGCCCCTTCCCCTAGATGATTTTATTTATTGTCTCTAAAATGGAATAGGGAGCCTTAATAGGCAATGGGTTCACCTCTGGATGAACATTGGCTGGGTATGTTGTAATGGGAATTCTTTTTTGGGTATGGGTTAGACTAGATAGCTTCTGAGGTTTCTTCCAACTCTAATGTTTGGAGAATCTCTGAAAATGAAGTACTTGGACTAGACCAGGGATTCTTATTCTTTTTGTGTGTCATAAATCTCTTTCATAGTCTGGCAAAGGAAGCCTATGGAGTCCTTCTCGGAAGAATATTTTTAAATGAGCAAAATAAAATACCTGGGATTGCAAAAGACACCAATTATATTGAAACACAGTCATCAAAATATATTTTTAAAAAAGACAAATTCATGAACCCTAGATTAAGAACCCCTGGATTAATTGATCTCTAAGGTTTTCTCTGGCCCTGATATTCTAAAGTTAAAACTAACTTCAAGTAGAGTGATATTTGCTAACTTCAGAATACTTCAGTCATCTTCTTCTTTTCTTACCAAACATACATCAGGCTGAATTTTATGAATAGTTATAGTTATTATTATTATCATCATAACTAATGACATCACTTATATAGCATTTTAAGGTTTGCAAAGTATTTCATATATCTTGTCTCATTTGATCCTCACAATGACTCTTGAAAGAAAGTACTATTGTTGCCCCCATTTTACAGATAAGGAAACTGAGACTGAGAGAGGTCAAGTGACTTGCCCAGGGTCACACAGCAAGTTAGTATCTGAGGCAGGATTTAAGTTTAAGTCTTCTGACACCAAGTCCAGCATTTTATCCTGAATTGGCTGCTGATCTACTCCTAGACTCTTTGGGTCAATTATTTAGGCAGAATCCAATAACTCTCAGTTAGAGACCCAAGGTATGATGTAACTCCTTTTTAAAAATCAGTAAACATGTAATGGATTGCTATTATGGGTATGGGTTGTGATTGGCATTATTAGAAGGAATTCCTGCTTCAATGAGGTCAGAGAGCTAATGGCCTGTTGGGCCATACGTGATGAAAACAAAGCTTTCAAAGAAGTCCTAGGCATAATTCTTTTCTCTTCTTTACAAGGGGGGATGGGTGGTGGGAAAAAGAGGAAGTGAATTTATTAATTGCTCCTTGTCATTATCATTATATTCATAGGGGGCCAGGTTGAGTTTCTGTCAGAGTTGAGGACTCCATTATTTATATGTAAGATGCAGTGTGGGATTACTGGCAAGGCAAATCAGAGGTGGCCCACTGTTGGGCAATGTCTTTGCCAAGACGCCAGAGCTATGGCACAGTACTCTACCTGGTTTGGAACCCTCATCCACAGATCCATTGTAGACTTGGTTTATGAATTCTGGCCTGTTGTCATTCATATCAATCACATAGATGTAGAGGTCAATAGGATTCTCCACCTTGTTTCCATTCATGTCTACTGCATGAGCTCTAAGCTGAAAAAACAAAAGCAAAAGACAAACAAACAAAAAACAGAAACAACACTTGGTCAGAATCTGAATTTGGCTGGTGTTTCCAAATTATTTCTGAGGCCTGCTGTCACATACCAGAGCAAAAAAAAAGCACATAGTTTCCATCTAAAGTCTACCAGATTTATGGTACTTTTCAATGAGATGAAATCTGTCTTTTTTTAAGAAATGAAGATGATGAATATCTGGGTGGTAAGGTGGGTTTACTTCCAAACACTCCTTTAACACCCTAACATGTACAATCATCACTGGGGGACAAAAGTACAAAAGTATGCCAGTAACCTTAAAGAGTAAGTTTCTGTTAAGAAATTCCCAGGTGCTCTATTTAGAAATTCCCAGGTCCTCCTGAACCATGTAGTGAGCATGAGAACACCTCACCCTGGTCCCTCAGCCTTGACACAGGAAGCATGCCTGGGATCACAGAGAAAGGCTTTACAAGGTGTTTTCAAGGATGCAGATAGCATTGACCTTGTGGAGCAGAATCATCATCACCTAAATCCTTCAGTGTTCTCTATGCCCCAAACCTCAGGCAATTCATGGCATAGATGAGCACAAAAGACTTCTCAAGAGACATATAAACAAATATGATAAGGGAATACCAAAGAAAAAAATCACCCAGAAACCTTGGACCTAAACTGGTCTGCCACAAAGAAGCTACCCCCAACACTGTATTTGTCTTTTTCTTCTCTGATAAGTCAAGCCTGAAATTAAAGTATAATGGACCAGCTTATAACAAGCAGTGGCCAAAGATGTGTGTGTACCTTCCTGCTACCTGGAGGCAGCCCTAGAGTAGGAAAGAAGTTGGTTCACATTAGGGCTATTGGCAGCAGCTGCTGCTGTCTCGCCCCCATGGTTCAAGAGTCCAGTCTATAATATTTTGGTGACAGAGATAGCAGAGTATTCCCATCCCAGGGATCTGATAAAATGACCATGAAAATTCCTTGTGGCACTCTTTAAAGGTGAAATTTTCCTCACTGCTATTAATATAATGGGGGTGGGGAACATTTCACACCTATCATAGGGTCTTCTGACATGCTGAAAGTTGAAATGTATGTTCATTCTTAGAGCCCAGGGTAGTCAGAATATTCCCATCACAGGATCTGCTGGGCATCTGAAAATTGATTTGTGCCACTTCTGTACATATTTATCTAATGTCTCAAATGGGCAAATACATCTACAGTAGCAACAGCATCTTAGCTTTGGGGGTTTCTATTTAAAATGTCTCTTCTGCCTATATCTCCAGAAAGAGAAATTCTTGCCAGGTAACAGTGGAGACCAAGGGTCTGTCTCCTTAAAATGAAAGGACAACCACAGTCTATTAAAATGAACGAGTAGAGTGACAAGCCCTCTGGGATAACAAGCTGAAGGCAAGAAAGAATTGGAAGGCATTAGAGGACAGACCAGGTAGCTCTGCTAATTTGGACATCTGGAGCAAGACCACATTTGTAAGTTCTTCCCTTCTCAAATCTATTTGCTTCTATTTGTCCTGTTTGCCCTCACAAGCAGAATACACGAGGAAGAAGCCAAAATAAAAGTACAGAGTGTGGGTCAATGTTCTGGGGTTGATGCTCAATACAGCATTCAGATCTGCAGGGATTTAGTTGATAGGTAGGAAATCCTTCTGGGAGGAATAGAGGGTGGGCATATATGACTTGTTGACAGAGCTTCTGGTGAACAGGGTCATAGAACCAAAGAATGTCAGAGCTCCAAGAGCCTGAAGAATGTCAGAGCTCAAAGGAGTCTTGAACCACAGAACCATAGAATTTCAGAGTTGGAAAGGACTTTAGAATATAGCATGTAGAATGTCAGAATTAGCTTTGCCCACATTCTTCAGGAATTATTTCCTAGTCCCTGTGGCTGCTAATGCCTTCCCCTTTCCATCTCCTCTGCATTTATCTTGTATATACTGATTTATGCAATTTCCCCCATTAAAATATAAGATCACCCAGAGTAGGCCCTTTGGTATTTTCTTCTTCATGTCCTCCGTGCTTAGCACAGAGCCTGGCTCACAGAAAGTGATTACTACTTGTTGATGGGTTGATTGATCTAATCTAAGCCTCACATTTTATGAAGCAGAAAACTGAGGCCCATTAGAGGTTCCCCAAGGTTATAGAAGTAATTTGTAGTAGAGCTGAGAGTAGAACCCAGGAATTCCTAGTCTTCTCATGCCACTGTACTGCCTCTTGATCATGGGCAGGGGATTGGATAAGATAGTCTATTCCAACAGTACCTTTAAAATCCCTCCTAAGATTTCTTCCCACTCTAGGACTGTATGGTTCTATGACCCTGGAAAAGTGGTTAAAACCAAGGTGAAAGAAGGCTTTTGGGAAATAGAACTTTGAAGCAGAGAATGTCTAGGGAATGGGAGCTGATGCATGTTGACTGGGAAGAGCTCGATCCAGCTGGTTCCAAGTGAATTCTTCCCATTATCCAATCTCTTAGCATAGCTCTCATTACTGCTGCTTCATGTACCTCCGAAAGGAAGACATTTATACATGATAGCTGCTGAACGAAAAATGAAAGTGCTAATTGTATTCATATTGGCTTCAGTGTTTTGGTTTGCTTCAGACAGCAGTGAATGGAATTTTACCCCTTAATTTGTGTTTTTAAGAAGAATTTCAAGGCTTACTTGACAAAAAAATAGAGGAAAAAAGGGAGAGGGAAAGCCATGTGTGTTGTGCAACAAACCAAATTAACACTGATTCCTAGGAAAATTGCAAAGTACAACACAACATGAGATTGTGCAAAAGTCCAAGCCCAGGCTAAGTTCTATTAAGAACAAACCTAAAGTGCTGTGTTGTGATGCTAAAGCCCCTAGCATCTATCCAGCTTCCAGTCACTGTGAACTATCTGCATCTCATCCTCATGGACAAACCACTCAGCCAGGAGCCATAGAGCTATCCTTCATCATGTCAGATGGAGTCAGTCAATAACTTTATAAGTCAAAGGTCAGGTTGTCTTTTGAAAAAAAAAAAAGGTATTCCGGCCTAAAATTAAAGTTATTATCTTCAAACTAAGGTGATATTGGTGCTTCTTGCTCTATCTTTAGGTGCAGAAACTGCTTTATTCAGAGATAACATGTCACATGAGTCACATATTTATTTAATCTTCAGGTTTGCCTTACATCCTGCCCTACCTCATCTCCAGAAAAAAAGTTTTAATCAAATTTGATAGTTTTTGTTTGAAACTTTCAGGAGTAGCTCTCCAGTAAGCCTTGATCAGCTCAGGATATTTACCAAGCTTATGGGCCTGGGCATCTAGCTTGGTTAAAGTGGGAAAAAACATTTCAATAACTGAAATGTTACCCAGCTCTTCTTATATTCCTGAGATTCAGCACTGTCCCTTGTTCATGTGAAGAGGGCATTTCTTAAACTTTGAGTGGAGAATGACTCCACTAAAGTTCTTCTCCAGCCTGCCAATGGCTATGCCAATGGAACGCTACCTCTGGCGGGTATGACTAAGTTAGAGAGGCTTTGAATATAGGTCTGGTGATGGCTTAAGTGCCTATTATCTGCAGTAGAACAATCTGGAGCGTGGACAGGTTCATCATTAGGTTTGCCCCAAGATGAAGTTCTTTGTGGCTGTAACAAGTCATGCAAATAGTTATGAAGACTATTTAAAAAGGAAGCCTGGAAGGACAGTGGTCTGCCCCAGTGGAGGGAATACCCAAACCAAGGGAATCATGGATCCATGAAATACTAAAGGAACAAATGGAAGGTTATATATTTGAAAATACAAAATGGAGGCTTGGTTTTATGTTTGAATAATTGTGAATTAGAAATAGTGCTGGATCTTGAATCAAAAAGTCTGGGTTCAAATCTTGGCTCCATTACTTACTATTTACATGACCATGGACAGAGCATCTAATCTCTTGGGTCTTCAGTTTCCTCACTTGCAAAATAAGTGGGTTGTATTAGATGGCCTCTAGCTCCTTTCCAAATATAAATCTCCATTCCAAAATGAATCTCCTGATTGATAAGATAATTCAGAGAAACATCACAAAGTCCTCCCTTTTTTGGCTGCTTCCCTTTACTATAGGTCACAAAAATATATTTTAATCACTTGCTTCATGCATGTCTATGTGCACAATTATTTTGTGTATAAACACACTTTACTTTATACAATAATTGTGATCCTGAAAAGTTATTCCCAGATTGACCATTTGGAAATCTTACCATATTTTAAGGGCACTAAGAGGTCTTTTAAGGCTATTTAATTTAACTCAACAAAAATTTATTAAATATCTACTTACTAATATGGAAAGCATTGTTGTAGGTGCTGGGAATTCAAAGATAAGAATGAAACATCTCCAGCCCTCAAAGAGCTTACATTCCACTAGAATTTAAAGGAATGTAATGGATTACCTTTTGGTAAAGTGGGAGCAAACTTTGAAAAGACATCATTCCATCATCCCACTATTTGTTTATGAATTGACTTTTTTTGGGTTTGCTTAAACTGAAGTCGGAATAAATATATTTACTGTGAAAAGTATTTCTGTTCTTATTGTGGTGAACATCTGGCTTCCTTCCCGGCCCTCAACATTCCAGCCAGGGCCGGTTAAGTCCCAATAATAGGCTTAGCTTTCTCCCAGGCCTTGTGAACACTCATCCCATTGGAAAGAGGAAATATAAGGATCCATAGCATTTAGTCAGCTATTTTGCGGCTCCAATTTTGACCTTATATCCTCTAGCAATTGCTTATTGAGAGTAGGAACTTTTTTGATCTTTGTGTCCCCAGGCTGTAGTAAAATAACTGACACATAGATGGTGTTTAACAAATTCTGATTGATTGATTAATAGATTGATTTTGACATGTTCCTGTGACTAAGACCTAGTCTAGTAACCAGCCATGAAACTAGGTCACTATTTTGTTCCCCTTAACCAGAGTCTTTCTTTTGGGATTCTGTCCTACACCCCAACTCCTAATGGTCTTCATTTTTTTCATATGTAAGATTAGGAAGTTAAACT